ACTAGCTTTCCAAGAACATCCTCGCGTCTAGTTATCTTACGAACATATCTCGTACCTATGACTGTATCCAGTTAATTAAATAGTCAATGGCAATTCTCGGTACGACTCCCATCGTCTCTCGATCTGACAATAATACTGGTAACCCACACGCTGTTTTGTGCAAACTGCCAGCGCAAAGAAGGCGTCCCTCTCGGGGAACTAGTAAAAGAAGGTTTGGAGTAATTGCAAGCAATCCCCTACATAATAGTCCTGTATACATTCTCTAATACCGCGAACTACAGGGTATCCTTGTGCATTTGGCGGGTTTCATTCTTGCAGTTGGCCGCCAGAACTCAACGACGAATAGCAATCCTCCCCAAAATTCTCTACAACAATCAATTTCGTGGCCGCCTTCGCTGATTGGAACAACGCAGCTTTCACAAAGGAAGAGGTAGATGAAGTATCTTCTTGTCCTACTGCTGGAAGTCCTCGCGTGCGAGGAGCACTCCTCAGGAGTATCCGAGCGTTGTCTTTGATGTGCAAGGCTTCGGGGCTGATTCGGTTCTCCAAAACTGCCGTAACATCTAGCTGACGTACACACTTCGTGGTACCTCGGGGGTGGCACGGGCCTTCCGCACGGTTGATGGTCCATGAGCCACGTTCGAAATTGGATAACCAGTCCTTGACGATCTACTCAAAAGTCAGTCGTGAGCCATAGACCCGCACTGCGGACGTACCGCGAGTATCTGCAGCGTATCCGGCGCAAGTCAGGCAGTGTGCGGATCGTATGCGGATATGGACATCTCCTCGGAGTCAATCTTCACCAGTCTCTAATGATGCTTCTCGCATACTCCGAATATCAAACAGGCTAATCCTCGAGAACGAAGCCGATCTTGCCAAGCTTCGAGCTGTTCGAATTTCCTCGCCTTCAACTTCTCCTGTATCCACGAGAGAAGAAGCTAGGGACGAGTTCGCGGGTGTATTCCAACGATCGATATCGTATTGATGAGCTCATTACTGTACCGTTTACCAGGGCGGAGGCGTAGTACGGAAGAGGCATTACAGACCCTTGCAACCATAGATGGCACATCGTCCGCCGTCCATACAGTTTCTTCATTAGCTTGGAGTTCAGCCCATCGGTGTTAGCTCAATGACGGCAGAGGTTTGCCAGCTATACGTACAAAAGACTGCACTTGAACGTGCAAGAATCGATCGAATGTCAATTTGTCTGAAGAAGACTCGTCATAGGCCTCCTCAAGGCCTAATGCGCGTCTCGAAAGATGAAACTGTGGTGGATTGCGCCGTGATGAATCATCTTCATCGGCGCGAGTGGTGTCTAGGAGATCATCCGATACAAATGGTTGGAATGGTGATCTGACTGTGTTGTTCGTTTGTGGCCCGTTCGCAGATATCGCAAGCGCTACGGTCCCACGTCCGCATTGGAGTGGAATGACACAACAACGTCTATAGTGTACTCTTTGATTCGAAACGCTGGGCGATCTTTCTTGATGAGTTGATTTGCTTCTCTAGTCTAAACGTTAGCACACAGACTGGTACTATGAGTTCCAATCTCGCGTGCCTTGTAGTGAGAGGATTGTATTGGTAAGAGACGTGATCCACTCCTAAGATCTCATACTGTTATGTTTCCAGTCATTGCCGTCGTGATCTGTAGTCCGTTCCTGGTTGGACTATATGAAGACGTCGCATCACGTATGCGGACGTCCGAGCCGGTATCGCAGCACTTCCTATCGATCGCTTTTGAGCCATCGTACGGGCTGTATGAGCGTCTTCGGCGCCTTTTACTGAGAAGATTGCCACTGGGCGAGGGGCGAACAAGTCTAGAAACTTTTAGTCATGAGTGAATTCCTTTGGATCAAGTCATATACCTTGTGGGGTCCACGATGCTCTGCGATCGTCTAGAGTAGGCAGCCGTGAGCTCACTCTCGCCTGATATTGGCTATCATATCCTAATGCTCTGCTGATGTCGAACGGGCTGGGTCCTCAAATTAGCCCCAAAAATCTTTGGATGTTTCATACGGTCTGACCCTGTAGCTCCTTCCAACAAGTGCAGGGTTAAGTCTAAGGGCGTCCATGGCTCGAAAGTCTGTCTCTTCTGTTATGGAACACATGACGTGATCAGGTCTGCGATCGCTTGGTGATGTGTCTGAAAGAAGCTTCGGTCTTCGAATTTTTAATTGTAAAAAGTTGTAGCGTTGCGGGTAGCGTAGGAATTTGAAAGCATGCTTTGAGATTATTGGTCGAAGTCTTGATTGCTGAAAGTGAAACAGATATACTTCTACAGAGGAGAAGCATAACGCAAGCAAGAAAACCTACGAGGACTAAGTGATTACCCCTCCACCGCTTCCAAGACCATTGAGGATGTGGTGGAAGCTTATGTAGGCCAGCGTCATCCGAAGCTCAGGTTCGCTTAATCCTTTGATGGCCGCTTGTACTGGGCACGAATGAGTAGCGGAACATATTCTGAGACGCGCAGATCTCACCTCTCCTTATTCTGATCCTTCGTTAGTGCGAATACTGAGCACATGATGAATCGAATGAGATTTCGGTCGCATCTGTTGATCATGAGCTGCCTTGACAATTGAAGAACGATGTTTCGGAGGTTGAGATGCTTCTCAGATGTCCATTGTACGCTGTAGCGCCTGCGAACGGGATTGATGTCGGCATCTTTGATATTGCCAATGATCAGCATCGATGCTAGTACCTAGTCCCTCCTACGGCAAAACTACCTAAGGCTGGAGCTCGTTAAGGCGGCTTTGGCTCTTGCGACCGCGCTCAAATTCATGCGGAAGATAAGCCGTCCGCAGTCTGGAGCTGCGAAGCTCTATCGGAGTTCACTTCCATCGAGACTGACGGTCTTGTAGCTGACTCGTATCTTGTCTTCGAGAGCCATCCGAGACTGAACAGAGGCTGTGGAGTTCAACCTACTAGAGCTCTGCGTCTGCATGTGCTTCGATGAGGAGGTCGTTAGAAGGTCTTGGGATGAAAGCTCTTCACTCCCTGAGAATAGCACCGTACGGGAGAGCATGGGCGAGCGAACATCGGGGTCTGAAGTTGAGATCGATGACGCTAGAGCAGACTTTCCTGTCCATCAATACATGAGTCGAGGGAGGAGAAGCTCCTTCCGTGGCTGGATATCTTGCTAGAAGGGATGACCATGAATGAGTTCCGGCGTCCGCTAAGAGCGATATACGGGGCTGATCGATTGAGTCGCCGCGAGCACTCGATGTCGTAGGGGTTGCTTGTGAGCTCGGTCGAAGACTTTGCGAATCTGTCGCCAACCTTGGTACTGGCATGAGAGGAGTCTGCGATACAGTTGATGTTGACTCCACCACCGACATTGGTGAGGCGATTGATGGTGTCTGCTTGGGAGACGTAACATCAACCGGTATGCTTTAACAAGCGTCTGGAGTTTGACACGTCGTAGAGCTCTCGCCACCATCTTCACCGGGGATCGACACGCCAACAGAGTCACTGACCTACGAAACTCTCGTGCTCCGGCAGCTCCCAGACACGTTGCGACGAATTCGGTTAATGATTTCATTTTGTATCATGGATGTGTTCCTGTGAGTGGTCCCTGAGAAAGCGGTCGTGGAGCCGATAGCCTCATCGTTGTGAACCTGGTTACCTACTGCCATCCCTTCAACAGGGTTTGCTGTCAGCAAAGAGCATCGGACCCACGGCGGTAAAGATTTGTCCAGAGAGCGGACCTCGACCCTCGTTGTTGTCACGGGTCTGCGGGTGATTGACAAACGAAGTCAGGGAGCCCACCGATGAAGCGGAGTTTTACATCTTCGCCAGCGAGGCGATACGCTTTCTCCGATCAAAATGAGCGAACCTTCTTCAAAGACGGACGATACCTTTTCACCGCTCTCGGCACTTTCTGCGTCTTGGGCCTCATCATGTCATACTCTCCGCCTTTCCGAACGAGCACGACTGCTGGCCGTGCAATGGACAAGATGCTTGCCGGTCAGTCGAACTTTCCACGATTTGTTATAATCGCGGCTTATCAGAGCTGACGCGCTGGTCTGCAGAGGACTGGAAGGAGATTGAAGCGAAGGAAGGCGTTCTGACAGCAGAGGAGACGCCTGCCCAGCGTAAGCAGGAGGATAAATACCGCAACGCGCACAAACACCAACCAAAAGGCGATGTTCCATGATTAGATGCATTCCACAAGAAAGCGACCCGCGAAGGACTCGGATGGACATTCAAAAAGCGCTCTCTCTGTACTGAACAATGCACGAAGGTGATTGCTGGCATGTGGGTGCCAAAATCCCACACGTGGAGTGATGGATCCAGGACAGCAGAGATTGTAAAGCCGAGTACCTTCCACTCAGTATGCCGCGTTCAAAATTTGTTTTTTATACAAATTGCATCGGTCTATATTATATAGTCTATAAAATTCACCCTGTTGCGTCCGGTCATGATATCCCTAGTGCTTGTCTCCCCTTATCGTAGACCATGTATGTTACAGCGACAGACGGTACAACCTTGATTAAGTTGGGAAGCATTCCTTTCCACAGCCCCCGAAAGCCCTCTTCACTGATCGTACGACGTGCCACGTCCATGATACTGGTATAAATCTTGGGGTTGATAATGGTACCGCTGGTTTGTAGTCGGGTACGCAGAAGATTGAGCGGCCACACCATTGAGGCGCCCAATGCACCACTAAACCCTCCAATGGCTGCAGTAGCTACTGCTCCAGGTCTAGCATCGTCCTCCTCGATCCCCTTAGCAGTATTCCTCCGAAACCACCAGCGCCTGGTGTACTCGTACGTGCTCAGATCGATGGCCGAGTAAGGGAATTGGCCCACCAAACCCCATATGAGTCCACGAAAATAGGCCCGGTAACCGCCAGATCGCCACATCTGCTGGGCCGTTTGTTTGAGCAAACGGTGGCCGTACTCTCCGCCTCTTTGCGAATTACATTGCATGCGGAAGCGAAGCGTGTCGAATGGGTATGCCGCAAGCCTTCCATCGTCAGAACCGTGTTAATTGGCTGCACAAAGGCACATGTTCATGGCTTACTGAGCAGCAACGCCACCAGTCCCGCCCGAAGCCGTCTGAGCCCAAACAGATATCTCCGAGGGGCCATCAACACCTTCCCAAACGGCAAAGAAGCGCCTGGTGGCCTACAAGTCAGGTTGTCGGCAATTGCCAACGGTTTGCTGCAGGTATAGTACGTATCATGAGCATACCTCATATACGCCAAATTTTATGGCTCCTTCGGGGAACATTTTGACAATGTTCAACGCATTGCCGGCCCACAGACTCCTCACTCCCCCAGCATTCCAGATCTCTCTACTGGCCTGGGCGAAGCGAGCACCAGCAGACAACACCGCCCTCCCGGGCGCTCCTTGCCTGAGATGTTGCCACGTAGGACTCTTGGATGTCGTCTTGGAAATGAGGTAGATTTTCAGTCGATCAACAGGTGCCGTCACGGTTCGCGATGTCATGCTCGCCACTCCCCCCGCGACGAAGCTCCCAACGTTCCTGTACGTTGCCTCATTGACATGACCGTCGCCATGGGCATTCACGCCCACAATGCGGGAGTGCATGTGAAAAAGACTGCGGTCGTCGGCATGTCGTGCAGCAGCCATGACCGAAAATGTGTATGCTTAGGTGTCTCGGAGTAGCAGTGAGTATGGGATTCAATGCAGAGCGAAGCCGGACTCGAGCAGGGTTTCGCTCTCGGAAGGGAAAAGTCAGACCCGAGACCGTATCAAACGCAATTGAAGGTGATCGACCTGAAAGTCACAGCGCCTTGTAAACCGACGAGATAACAGCGAGAATAGGTGGAGCCACGGAGGTATCGGCAACGCTAGCCGTAGATCTTTCCAACCAAATGCGTTCCGATTTCTCCGCTAGCAGTAGCTTTACCTTACGGATGACACTGACCGTCCACAGCAAATGCATGCAAAACGACAAACGGACATATTCGCACGCACATATCCATCTCCTTGAACAAAAAATCCAGCATCAAGCCAGGGCTCTTCAGAAAATGTACCGCATGCTGTGTGAGAGCAATTGCTGGCCAGGACCTCCGCAAGTCGAATCTGCTGTTCCATCCGTCCATTCAATTCTTGTCACTTTGGGTGCTTTGAACGAACTGTCGAATGATGCGACGCCTTGGGATTCAGAAGACGATTCAGGAGCCACGCTAGATGCACTGAGTAATTCCTCGTCGGATGTCTACTTCTTGCAAGACATGTCCTCGGCGGTAGATGAGACGGAAGCGGTCTATTTCGATAATACAGATCTACTGCGTGTGGATTGCGAGCTGTCCCCGTTGCAGCATGATGAATTCTGGGCAAGATGGACCCCGGCTCCATCAACATCTGGCACGTTCAGTCCCACACGATGTGACTCGGGCATCTTCACCGCGGGCTATGCGCCGACCAATACGGCGCCACACGTCAGTCCGTTGCTGACATATCCAGACGTACCGGAAACACAGACTACCGCTCCGTCTACGTTGCAAGACTTGGACTCGGCTGGGGTTCTCCATCTAGCTTGGCGATAATATTGAATCCTTTGCTAAATTGAACACTAAGTAAGCGGCTCTCCAAAGAAGATGGGCGCTCCTTGAGTATTGGCTCCAGCTTTCGAACGCGAGATGCGTTTGATTCGTGAGACGCTGTCCCAGTAGAAATGGCCGGACACCTCTTTAAACAAGTGAGAATCTTTTCACGTATCAATCCTGGCCTTCAAAAAAGACACCACTTTCGATAGGGTAGACGAGACCGACACCAAGGTACACGAGAGGTGGTCTTCTCAGTACGCCTGCATACTATTTTCTCCGCAGCGATCGTAATCTAATTAGCAATTCTTCTCAGGCTACATGGACTCCACATCTCCAACCTGAAACCCCACTACGTGCCTGCCCAGTGTTTTTGCTCAGCCTGGCTTGTTCAAAGTTCACCTGACCCTAGCGCATCCGCTCACGCCGATCTCATCCATGGATTGCCATTATTGAATGTACGACCTCAAATAAGTCCGCCTCTTGCCACTACGAGACATCCTGCTTGCAAGGACCGAGTCTACGACTTGGACAAATGGCCTCCGTATGCGGCGATGACAGCAAGAGCAGACCAAAACTCCTTCCTCGTTTCTTCGTATTCGTTGTACTCGTTCTGTTCTGGTTCGCTGTCTTCGGAAGCTCCAGCGTCCTTCCATCACATCCTCCTTCCGCTAGTCACATATCTCTGGTAAAGGTGAGCCTAACGGCATCTTTCCTGGCGTGTTTTGCGGAACTAATATTCCCCAGGAGGGTGCACACGATATCCCCACGTGTGATCAAGTTCGACAACGGCCAGACCAATGCCATTATGTAAGAGAATACTGTCAAGAGGAGGATGATGGTCGAATCCCATATCTTCGCCTTTTATACTGCACGTCGGATGCAGGTGCTAGGGCATGGCTTGTTGTTCTCCTCTGGATGGCCCTGCTGTTCCTAACCATGGGCATATGTGCGGGAGACTTTTTCTCAGTCAACTTGAGTGCGGGAGCACGCTTTATGGGAATGAGTGATAGTTTCGCCGGCGTCACTCTTCTCGCCCTAGGGAATGGAGGCCCAGATATCTTCTCAACATGGGCTGCCATGAGATCGAACAGTCCTGATCTTGCCATTGGGGAGCTCATTGGTGCCGCCAGTTTCATCGCCACTGTGGTGGCTGAGTCCCTTCCATTTCTGCCGCCGTTCCATGTGAATAAATGGTTTTTACTGCGGGACTCGACATTTCTCTTTTTGACGGCTGCTTTCTGCTCGTGCCGCTCCTTTCTAGGCAATTTCAACTTTGGCACGGGCTACTCATGATCTGACTGTATTTTGCATATGTTGTAGTCGCTGCCGGCTATCACTGGTGGACTTCTCGACACAGGGAGATGGCATCTGGTGAGGGATGCCCGAGGGATTTCGAAGAGTCAGGAGAAGGAGCTCTGGCATCGACAGAGGCCGACCCTTTACTGCATGATACAAGAAGTGATACACAAGCAACCCAACACCGACGCCACATGCCGTGGGCCGTCTACCGCGAGATGGAGGACTGGAGGCGTGCACACGGACGGTGTATTACGAAAAAGGGTGACTATAACGTTAAGCCAAGCCTTCTTGGAACAGCTCACTTCCATCGCCTCAACACGACGGCTACAAGAGATTGGCGAGCTGGTGATACAGAATCCAGCCTATCGAGGGACAGACCGCGCAGGAAGAGGAGGAACAGACAGAACGATGAAAGACTGCCACGACTCGATCAGAGCGACGACCGAATCTGGAGCACGCTATTACCGTCAGTTCGTGAAATGGGCGAGAAGTCACTTTGGCATTCGGCGTTGAACTTGGTATCTGCTCTGCCGTATTTGATACTCAAATTGACCATTCCTCTAGTCGAGAAAGAGCACGATCGTCAATGCGATCATGGCTGGCCGCGTTGGTTGCTCGTGGTCCAGGGCTCCATTGCACCTCAATTCATCTGGGCCATGCTCTGGCTCAACAGTGGACCTTCCGCCACTGCAGACACCTAGATCGTGCCGGCAGCGTGGTGCATCTTAGGCAGCGCCATCTTCAGCGTTCTCATCTACATTTGCAGCTCCGAAAGCTGCCAGCCACGATGGTACCCTCTAGTCAGCGTGCTGGGGTTTATAATGGGTGCTTTTTGGCTATCCGTCATTGCGGATGAGATTGTTTCCATTCTCAAAATGCTGGGGACCGTGCTCGGTATCTCACCGGCGATTTTGGGCTTCACAGTGCTAGCGGTGGGAAACTCGCTTGACGACTACTTTGCGGATATCACTATTAGTCGGCATGGCCATCCAGTCATGGCTTTTGCGGCCTGTTTTGGCGGGCCGTTGCTGAACATCTTGCTCGGCTTGGGATCTAGCATCACCTATGTCATTGGACAGGAATTTGGACGGAGCGGCAAGCTGACAGCGATACCTTTCGCCGTCGACCCGGTCTTGACTCTATCTACGGCTGTAATAGTGCTGACACTCCCAGTACTTGTGACTGCGCTGGCATTCAGTAGATGGCAGATGCGAAAAATCATTGGGGGCGGGTTGATCATGATAGGGGGTTTACTGACCGTTGTAGCCGTCGTTATGGAGGTAAAACATGTATCATAGATAGTACGAAGCCGTACAAGGACTGAAAGTGCTTGATTCTACGTGTTTGAGAACCAATGTTTTCGAGTCGTTACACCTTTGATTACTAGGAGTGATATCAACTGTGGATATCACATGCGCAGTGTCGCGGCTTCTATCGGCAGCGCTTGTCTAAATCGGGTGTAGCAGAACTACCTACTTCTGCCTAGCTCCACCTCATCCGGGTTGCGCGGAAGGAATGCGACGTAAGGATCCCCGGGTTCTTCTTCATCACATCTTGGCGCGTACAGTCTCGGCCGAGACTCATTATACATATATAGCCCTGTTATCGCATACAAAAATACCAAGCAGAAAAGAGCGAATACTCAACTACCATGCCACCTACACTTCACCTCGTCCGTCACGGCGAGGGCGAGCACAACGTCGAACCAACTATTGAGAACCGTCAGATCCGCGATCCCTCCCTCACCCAAGCGGCGGTGACTCGCTGTCAAGGCTTCAACAACACCTTCCCGGACTATGTGCACATCGACCTTGTCTGCGCGAGCCCACTGCGCCGTACGATCCAGACAGCCAAGTACTGCTTTGCAGATCGCATTCCCAAGACTACGAGTGAGCGGATCCTCTTAATACCGCTGAATCAAGAGGTAACGGATCAGCCATGCGATACCGGAAGTAGCGCTACAATGATTGAGAAGGAGTTTGGCGACTTAGTCGACACCAGCATGTTAGAAAGCGATTGGAATGGGAAGAAGGGCATTTATGCTGCAACCACAGACGGCCTGGCCGCAAGGTCGAAAGCGCTCCGGAAGTGGCTGTATAACCGTCCAGAGAAAAACATTGTTGTCGTTGGCCACGGGGCTTTCTTCGACTTTGTGCTTGGAGCAAACGCGTACGACGTCTTGAAGCCTGGTATATCGATTCATCTTTTTGACGTTAATGTTCCATTATTAACAATGGCGTAGGCTACAAATCCTCATGGAAGCACCGTCAGTGGCGCACTTACACCTTTTCAGTTGGTGCGGATGGACCGTTGGTAGAAGAAAAGCAATCTGTTGCGCGGCGTAGTGTACTAGAGTCCTAGGAAACGTCATTCGCGTACATTTAGATCGCAGATAGATCATCAATAATACGTTCGTAATCCGGTGTTTCTCCGAAGGAATCTTAAGGAAACGAGGACGCCTCTGAATTTTATCATGCAGTTCGTTGAATCTTTCTCATTTATATCAGTGACAACGTGTCATAAAGTGAAATGCAAATATGCCTCGCTTGTATTGCAGAATTGCAACAGAACCCCTACCTTATCTACCAGAATCCTTTGAAACAGCAGCACCACCCAACGTCCCATTCTTCGATTCGATCTCATTGTCATTCCATAAAGCCGCATTCGAGTACATCAGCCTTTACGTTCAAAGTGCTGTACAAATCAATCAACCATGGAGGCCACGGCAGGATAGTTCACGTCAAAGTCTGCGAGATCTTCATCTTCAAAACCCTCTGCAGCTTTCTTGTCGGCTGAATGCCCATGACGCTATCGACACCAAGGTTCAAGAGAGCGGCGCCAGGATTGACTTTGTCAACATCGTCGAACTTCATCAAAGACGCGATGGCGGCACGGATTTTGTCCGTCACCCAAGTTTTGAGCTCGGTAGTTGTAGTTGGACGACCATCGGCATCAGCACCATCGCCGTCTTTTGTCTTCACCGGTGATGACGGATTGGTTTGTGATTATGTTGTGGCTACGGTGCGTCTGGGTGCAACTTCCTCGAGGAGCGAAAGAGGGAAGGCTTCGCCGTTCTCGAAAGCGAGCGCTCGGGTTACGACGGCGTGGTTAGTTTCGTAGTCGGACATTTACTTCTAAGCCCGGAATCCTTGTCAGCCGACATATCCGTGATACCTTTGCTCTGGAGCTCATTGGTGATGAAACTCGAAGGGCACACCAATCCCAAACCACGCCAGGCGGTGGATTGAAACGCAATGGCGTTGTCGCCTGCGTTCCTGCGCAATG